ATCCACAAGGCAGTGGAGCATCGTGAGGAGATGCAGTCCCATGGTAGCCGGTGACCAGCAACAGGTTCATACGCCATTCGCTCCATCAGGATCCTGGAGCCCATGTGCACCATTGGTTTGGAACCAGGGTTTTCCAACTCCCCTAGGTGGACTTTCCGTATCCACCAACCCGTTTAAAGCGCCGGACATTCGCTTTTCGTCCTCTCACTTTCGTGAACAACACCCGTGATGCGAGAAGGCAGTGAGTAGGACTTCCCTGGCAGAGACTGTATACGCGTGCCATGTGAAAGCATTTCGAGAGGGAGAGCGGACTCTCCTCACTCTCGGCCGTACCAGGGCATTTTGGGGGCGATATGAATGATGTATTTCAAACGTACTGAGTTTTTGTACAAACAACCAGACCACATCGTACCATAAAATTGAAAATAACATATGTACAAGATTTGGCCAAATGTGACTGGGAATGTGGGGAACAGTAATTAATAGATTGTACATAACTCGAGAACGGTGAATCGTATATTAATAGTCAGTGGGTCAAAACAAAGTCTATGGTGAGAGGAACATGATTATGAATAGTTCAGTTACTTAACAATTATACAATAGAAATATATGTATAGTATTAGACTATAAATAGATCCCACTCATTATTCTCATCGGGACATAACAGAGCGGTCCAACTAGTATGGTGATCCCTTACTCATTTTGATTTTTTCAATGTTATATCCACACCAAACCCAACTTCCTTTTTTGTCAGCATCACAATTTTCCGGTCGTTTTTCTATATAGTCTAGTTACTTAAAATTTCGATACCATACGTCACATTCAATATTCACAGGCTTCATAAATATATTTTTTGGTAGGAACCGATGTGTTGTATCTTGATCTCAGTCATCTCAAAATTAACTAAATTCCTAGGTACAACAAATCAAGAGTTTTCACCTATTTCCGTTAGAATCCGTCTTACCTTATGATCTCAGAATGTTATAGCTTTTGGAGCTTACTAACATCAGTCGATGTTTATGCACTGTCTTGACGTTTCATTTGAGTGATCTGTTTACTATTGGGCAAGTGACTGTCAATTACTCCAAGTCTAATATTTTAGCTAAAATCTTGGATTTGGACATAATCTCGTCTGACTGGTCGCAACCACTGATTGTCCCAATATATAAGATTAGTTTGACAATGTATCTAAAACTCTAGCCTCAATAATTATCGAACGCTTAACAAAGACTGATGAACTGCAAACGAGAAAATCCGGATGGCTTCAGTCGTGGTCGTGGCTGCATCGACCACATATTCACCATTCGTCAGTTTTTAGAACACAGGTATGCTTATCGGTGTCCGACAATGACAGTTTTTCCCAAATTAAGAGCAGCATTTGACTCTGTAGACCGAGAGGTTCTGTGGCGGTGTCTCTCGTTGAAAGGTGTACCTCAGAAGTATACAAACCTTGTGAAGGCTCTTTACTCGAACACTACCAGTCGAGTGAGAGCTTATGGAGAACTGTCATCTGACTTTACAACCTCAAGTAGTGTCAGGCAAGGCTGTCAACTCCCCCATTTATGTTCAAATTGATCATAGATCTACTGCTGAAAATAACGTTCTCGTCTGAATTTCCAGCACTTGATCTCCTACCGGGAGGTCCACGTATTCGCTTAGAATATGCAGACTACATGGTCCTGTTTGGTGAAGACGCTGATAAATACAGAGTCATTTAGTAGCGCTTGAGCAACAATGCAAGGATGTTTGGAATGCGTTTCTCCCCATCTAAATGTAAATTGTTGCTCTAGGACTGGTCTGCGTCGACACCTAAACTAAGCATAGAGAGTGAAGTAGTCGAACGCATCGACAACTTCACTTATCTTGGAAGTCTGATCAGCCCTAATGGGTTTATTTATTATTTATTTAAACACATAAATATTGGTACAATGAAGCACCAGATAAATATGCGCCTCACAAATCTCATTCGATTTGTGTGAGGGCTGTGATACTGCCCAGGTGCCCAGACTGAAGCAGGTGGTTTTCTTAGGGGGCCACACCCGGAGCCTTTGACCTGAATGTCTGATCCACAAGGCAGTGGAGCATCGTGAGGAGATGCAGTCCCATGGTAGCCGTTGACCAATGACAGGTTCGTCCGCCATTCGTTCCATCAGGATCCTGGAGCCCATGTGCACCATTGGTTTGGAATCAGGGTTTTCCAACTCCCCTAGGTGGACTTTCCGTGTCCACCAACCCGTTTAAAGCGCCGGACATTCGCTTTTCGTCCTCTCACTTTCGTGAACAACACCCGTGATGCGAGAAGGCAGTGAGTAGGACTTCCCTAATGGGTTGGTGTCTGACGAAACCTCTGCACGGATTCAAAAAGCTCGTTTGGCTTTTGCCAACTTACGTCACCTACGGTGAAGGCGAGATATCCGTCTATCAATAGAAGGATGAGTGTACTGTGCGGAAGTTCGTTTTTTTTCTACTTTACGGCTGCGAAACGTGGCCATTAAGAGTAGAAGATACTCGTAAGTTACTAGTATTTGACTACAGATGTCTCGTTCGGCTTTTGCCAACTCTCGGTGGCATGGCTCAGAATCGATCATAATGTTGTGGGTGTGTACACTCTTTGTCTGCCCCTAAACCGTGAGATTAAAATTGTTTTATACCTTTATTTATACAAACTAATTCTTTCTCCCTGTATTATATCCTTATACACAATCTTTATTACTACCATTGAAGTAACTGCTTCTGCGAATTTGATGTTCATCTTGTTGTGCTAATGAGGTGTGGCAACTTGGACTGATGCATATATGTGCAAGGTCCCACGTTGCAGCTGACTGAATTACTCCAAGTACCTATTCAGTTTAAATAATTTAGGAACAAATCAGTATCATAATGAGAATAAACTATGTCCATACGTCTCGGAATTCAATACATTTTAATTTGAGGTCTTATGTCGGTGAGTTATGTGCTGCAACGTAGTATCTGACACATGTTCGTCATACCACATTGACACAGGTGAAATTATCAAGACAAATCATTTCGTTTAAACACCAAAACGTCGGTACAAATGACCATCAAGACGTCTCATTGTAGAAGTAATCGTACCAGCAGTAGTAAAAGGACTAGATGTATAAGAGAAAAGTTGTAAGGAGATTTTGAGCTCATGTTCCAAGGTAAAACAAAACGTTAATGGACCTGCACCATTGCGAACTGTTCTAAACTGTGTCCAACCATTGCTAGGATAATCACACGGACCTCACTCAGCGTACACCTATTAAAAGGGTTTAGTCTAATTACCAATTACTTCATGGGATGGTGGCACATCTTCGTTTTTCCGTATCTACCTACCTCCCAGTCTTCTTTTTACTACGCCGCACAGCACTGCTCGAGTTAGGTGGTGCCTGAGTATACGCAACATGTCCCGACTACCTTAATTGATGCAGGTTCACTACCTCACTGAATCGTTTGCCATTTTTACCTAGTGCCGTATCACTAATCTCAACGTTGCCCAATCGGTTTTCCAGAAATATGCGAGGAATGTTTCGAAAAAAACCTATAGTCGAATACAATTAACATACAAATATCTTTTCTTAATGATCATGCTCCACTCTCATAAAGTAGAACAGAGCAAAGTGCTGCACGGTAAACTTGTCCTCTGGTTGGGAAACAGACGTCTTGACTATACCGCGAGTGACGCATGCATATATAAGCCAGTCGAGGTTTTTGAACCCGTGTTCAGGTTTCGTCAGTCACCGATCCTCCAAGGTTGATGAGACTGCCAAGATAAGTGAAGCTACGGACACACTCAATTAATTCGCTTCCTATCCTTATTTTAGGTGCTGATAGTATCTTACCTTTACAGTGGGAGAATCCCATATCAAATAATACTTAAATTGTTGCTCAAGGCAATCAAATAACTGGCATATAAAATTTCACATACCTCATTCGTATGCGTTTAAGTGATAAAACAAGGTTGGTACATAGGCATGGTGAAAGGACACACTTCAGCTACTATGACTCGAAGAGTTAGATATTGTCACCTAGTGTTTGACGTCGGAATGTGATAACGAGTAAGATGCTCAGAAAATGTCTTGGTATGGTAATAAAAATAATGTGTTCATAAATATAACCAGTATTTAGTCCAGAAATATCGCAACAAACATTGATATAACAGGTAAATTTAAATTAATCTTCAGGTTGTTTGACGGATATGGATTGTTGGTGTGTGGTAAAGCTTTCCGACAAGAAATGTCAGAGTTGGGCCCATAGTTTTCATCATGGGGTGTAAGACAATCTATTTGTTTGGAAACGTTATCTACTAAAGTATGCGTGGTACATACCAAGTCACCACACAATACCAGTGGTGAGGAAGGACTTCACAAAAACGCTCAATACATCGAAAGTAAAATACTTGAAGAATTTTGAGGCTTTATTTGCAGTTCTGTTGGGACTTTTCAAGTTAGATCTCCCACAATATGACCAGCAGTTATACACCACAGGTGACGTGACCCATATGCGTCACAATCGTTAATATCCATTGAATTCCGCCTTCCAAAAGATTCTAGTTCAATTCCAATGTAATTCACAAAATACGGGTTTATATGCTTGGTTTCGAGCCCCACTTCGTATAAAAGTTAATGACACTGCCCGATTGCCAAAGCAAAATAGTTACAGTGAGGTTTCAACCTGGGGTTTACTGATTATGATTCTGTTGGTCTAATCACAAAGCTACCATCCAACACCGTAAAATTATAGATAGGAGTTTCGTCTCAGCGTAAGATCCTGCAAAATGTTTTCACTAGAAACCCAAACAGAAACCGGACATTTTATATCAGGAGGCACATATTGCCTTTTACTCGTTCATCATAACTTTCCTTCATTTTTGTTGATTTAAACAGGTGGATGGAACTTTTAAACAAAAACAGAAAGACAACGGGACAATCCTTTATTACTGTATATCAGTCAGTCCAATTTTCCCTTTAGAATATTGAAAGGAGAAAAATCCTTGTGACATGCAGAAAAAATCCAGTGAAAATGTTGATACACAAAACGTCAAGTATATTTCATGCAAATAATGTATTTAAACTACTTAGTGTTCGTAAGGCCCATGGAAAACGCCGAAAAGCAAAGAAGTCTCGAGATGTATTTAACAGTTTACAGGATGATGCCTTAAAGACCTCAATCAATCCTCAAATTTGTTCTACTAAGAGAATAGTATTTGATGAGAATGGAAAGATAAAAAGCTTATGCGCTGCTGATAATTGGGATGTAGGTAGATTTCCATATTTAAAGGTGATTTCCAGCTTTCTGATTGTACTCGCAGGTCGAAAAAGCGTTCAGGATACGTCACTTTTACAAACATATATGCTGAACAGAAATTTACACCAGAATCTGGAGTCTCAAACCTTGAGAATACTGATATCATGTCTTACATTTCTGAAGATGAGTCAGAATCCGTACGTGAAATACCGATCAAACATGTAAAGAATCAGCATTTAGACGTAACAGTCTACAGTTTCACTGTATGTTTAGCTTCTATTCGTACTATTGTAGAATGACTATGAGACTGTTGTGAAGTATTGGTATGATACTTTTCAGAAACTTCATTTACCCGCCAGAATAACTGAAAACCAAGTGAGTTCTATTTTCTAACTCATTCTAACCATAATAGATTTCTTGCACTTGAGTGATGTAACTTTTCGTGTTGTTACCTCTAACGTTTTTCCGATTGGTCTTTCAGGAAGGCGTCAACAATTATTGTTCAATGGTTGAACAAGCCTCTTTGACCATCGCAACTGAAAGTCGGTCAAGTAGTATATCATTACACGAGTGCGTTTTTTTCTGCCTAAATTATGATTTAATCACTGTGTGATTGAATAACCATAATCTTTTAATCTCATATTGGTTAGTTATATTTAATTTCTATTCGCTTGAAGTATGGTTTGACACTTAAAGTCCCTTGATAAGAGTCCCCAGAAAGTATTTCTATGTATAAATCTCGTCTTTTTTATTCAATCCTGTGAAAATCAGCCCTATACTTTCAGTGTAAATATTGGGAAGTGCAGTTTGAGTAATTACATACTTTCGGTAATTTCTTACCAGGATTTACAATTACGATAAAAAAAATTTCATTTGAGGTATTCAAACTGTTGTGGTTAAAAGAATTAAACAGCGGTAAAGATAATAAATATAATATATTTGTGATATCCCAATGAGTAGAAAAGTTAGATTTCTTGACGTTTCGTGACTCAGTGTAAACCACTTCTTTAGAGTATAAATAAATGAATTAAAATTAACCCAAGTTTAGAACAGCGGTAGAAATCATAATAAAATCATGCAAGTGCTGATTTGTTCTTCATAGTTTGCTAGTCATTTGCTTATGTGTGTACGGTGTAAAGAAAGAAAAATCATTTAATTCGTGAAAGATTGAATCATTCGTAAACTCAGCGAAAAGTTGGAAAGTACTAGATTAAAATGAATAATAGCAATAAATTTACACATGGGAATCATGTTCACCCTTTCGTCCAATATAATAGATTTACAATTTTGATCAAATGGTATAAGATAACACGAGGGGAAGTGACAATGAAATATTGTTAGCATGCTTATATCTGGTCGTGAGATTTCGATTATTATCACTTAGTAATCCATATACACGTACCATTTCTATTATCAATAACGGCCCAATTGTCCCGAATACATATCTCTTACTATTATTGTAAAAGCCAGTGAGGAATTGCCGAAAATACGTATTTACCTGCATAGTTTTCCAATTAGTTATTTTTTAACAAATATTAGTATTAGTTTATTTTCGGTAGCTTTACAATTCATTGATCACTGAGTAGTGGTCATTGTCGTATCTGTCCTCCTCAGTGCTGATCGAATCTCGTCAGCCAAGTTGCAACGTGACCACTATCTTAAGTGAATCGACATCCCACATAATGTGGTGGTTGGAAATAGTTGACAGGAAAATCTGGACCTCAAATCAGTAGTCAGTCAACTGTAAATGTATCTTTGTCCTACTAACTTGTCGCGGCCCGAATAGCTCAATAGTGAAATCTCTGACTGTGAAGCTAAGTGACCGAGTCAAACCCATCAGTTCCCTCAAAAATGCAGATACACTTTGTTGGCTAGTGTCGAATAGCATGAGACTTAAGTCCAAGGTTTCTTGTTGACCACCTCTAACAACCACCTTATTAGCTTATCATAATTATTGCCAACTTCATTGCCAGATCCACTTCCTGATTTCGCGATAATTAAGCCTCAGTGTCTACATTTATGTCCCTATGTTTTTAATAATGCTTGCGCTTCTGCCAGCAAAATAATTTATCAAAATATTAATCTTATAAGACCCACTGCCTGACTGAACTGTCTTTGCATATTTACAACCCTTGCATATACGCGAGAAGTTTGATGTTGGCCTCAAAATGTATGTTTTGTTTATTAACTTTGACTAGAGACTCACAGGAGTTCATAGGTCAGTATTTTAGTATTTTAGCCAGGAACGGATTTTATCAACTGGATCTAAGGTTGGTCGACCGTTTTAACGTATAGAAAACATGCTGGGGATGTGAGAGTTTTGGAAGAAATCCATAAAGTACAGTTGAGTTATCAAACTTCATGCAGTTTGCTTACACGATATGGGACTCTAGATCCTTGCTGTAATTCCTATTTTTAAGGACTCTAAGAAAGTTTGTCATATACAGCCATAACATAGATAGGCAGTCTTCGGAGCTGAGTACAGGTGAACCACTAGAAAATCATTCCGAAAAATCTTCATTTTACTGTAATAAGACATCAGCCAACCGTCTATACAGCTAAAAACTTTCAGAAAAACAAAACAACCTACCAACTGAGTGCAAGACAGTCTTATTATTTAAATGAAGAATACATTGATTGAGGCGTAGCCTACTGAAAAAGACACCATCTAGTTATTGTCAAAGAGAGCAAAATGTACTCACGCCTGTTACCCCTCGAGGAGGAGCATAGGCCGCCCACCAACCCTGTCACAAGCAATCCTTTCCAGTTGTTATTCACCCTTTTCATATCTGCCTCTATTTCCCGGAGTAATGTGTTCCTCGGCCTACCTCTTTTCCGCTCCCCTTCAGGATTCCAAGTTGGGGAATGCCTCGTGATGAAGTTTGGTGATTTCCTAAATGTATGTCCGATACACCTCCAACGTCTTTTCCCAATTTCGGCTTCAGCTGGTTCCTCCTCCCCTACAGAAGGCTGTTGTTGATGGTATCCGGCCTGTGGATGTTCAGCATTTTGCGTAGACAACTGTAAATAAATACATGTACCTGCTTGACGATGGTTGTAGTAGTTCTCCGGGTTTCAGTTCCGTACGGTAGGACTGTCTTGATGTTCGTATTGAAGATTTTCACTTTGAAGTTAGTTGACAGTTGTTTTGAGTTCCATATGTTCTTCAATTGTAGGAGTGCGGCCCTTGCTTTGTCAATCCTCGCCTCTACATCTGCATCCGATCCTCCTTGTTCATCAATGTTGCTTCCCAGGTACGTGAAAGTTTTCACATCTTCCGGAGTTTCGCCATCAAGTGTAATTGAGTTGGCGTTCGCCGTGTTGTATTTGAGTATCTTGCTCCTTCCTTTGTGTATGTTAAGGCCTATTGATGAAGATGCTACTGCTACATTAGTTGTCTTCGTCTGTATTTGTTAGTGTGTATGGGGTAGGAGGGCTAGGTCGTCTGCAAAGTCCAAATCGTCTAATTGATTCTGAGATGTCTATTGTATTCTGTGCTTCTCAGATGTTGAAGTCTTCATAATCGAGTCAACTACCACCACAACCAGGTGGTGATCTGAAGCTATGTCAGCTCCTCTCTTGGTTTTCACATCTTTTATTGATCTCCGGAATTTTTTGTTGATACAGACGTGATCTATCTGGTTCTGTGGTTTGGTCCGGCGAGATCCATGTAGCTGGTTTTTTGTATGCGTTTGTGTGAAGATATTGTGCCGCCTATAACCAGTTTGTTGAATGCACATAGATTTGCGATTCCCTCAAAATTCTCATTTCTCTCTCCCAGTTCATGTCGTCACATTATATTTTCATATCCTGCGTTGTCCACTCCGACTTTAGCATTTAGATCTCCCATCAGGTTGGTGAGGTCCTTTCTTGAGCGCTTAGTTGTGATTGATTGCAGCCTCGAGTAGAACTGATCTTTATCTTCGTCGATGCCACCATTGATGAGTGCATAACACTGGATAAATTCCATTGTGATCTGCTCCTTCTTTGTTTTGAAGGATGATTTGATGACCCTGGGTCCGTGAGATTCCCATTCTATAAGTGCTTTTCATGCTTCTTTGGACAGCATCAGAGAAACTCCCTGAGTGTGTGGAGCATTTTCTGCTTCGTGACTGGAGTACAGCAGCATACCGTTTCTAGCCTTTGCTATTCAGGTTGTTCCAATGAGTTTCGCTGATTCCAAGTATTCCCAGTTTGTATCTCCTCATTTCCGTTTCTATTTGACTGGTCTTCCTGGACTCCCACATTGTCCGAACGTTCCATGTATCTATAAAAATGGTTGCTCTGATCTGTAAAAGTGGCATCGGCCTCGTGACTTCCGAAGAATTTCGTCTTTCATCCTGAGGCGTCATAATTCTTTATTCAAGTCGTATGGCGGAGTTCAAATGGTATGAATTGTTTTTTTTAGTTAGCTTTCTACGGGATGGGGTCGCTAACCCCATGCCCAACCCTCCTTCTTTACCTGAGCTTGACACCAGCAGTAACTCTAGAAGAGTATGGTAAAACAGAACCAGAAAAAGTCATCCTGTAGGTGTATATTCTGTGGTAAGGTGGGCATTCAACGCTTTGTTTTTTAGAGTGAATACGTTATTAAAAAGTCGCAGATGCTTCGACCATTAAAATCAGGTCATATACTTGATTACTTCACTTTATAGAATATTTCACAACACTTACATGCCTATTTTTTCTGTCTATTTTTAAAATACGATACTTAATGTAAATTAGTTATACTGAGCATTGCGAACATTCAGTAGAAATCATGTTATTATGAAGAAAGTACGAGTCCAGACAGAAACTCTCTGGCAAAACTGCATTGACTTACTAGTGATTCAAACACCAGATATAGAGACGTATTTAAACGATGACACTTCTTTATCAATTAAAGTAGGTTATTGTCAAACATAAGATCTGTGTTAACTATACCTTGTGAAAGGAGCCAGAAAGTCACACATCCTGTAAAATTGCTATTTATCGGTATTATATATTTTTGCAGAGAACAAATGGAAAGCTGTCAATAACAACGTGGTTTTCTCGAGACCGGTCCTCTGGATAGGCCCATAAAATAGAAGCAAATACACCGGTTTGTAAATCTTTTACAAAAATATGGAGAAAAATCATTTTAAATGTAATACTTCATACTATCTGTCGTTTTATTACTTTTCAATTAGTGTTCTTGCTAATTGTCAGCTACTTCATCTCTCCTTGGTGTGGAATCATTAAGCGGCATATTGGGTTGTACTGTTAATGGCAACGAGTGTGAGATCTATCTTCATCGTTTTTTTTCTCAATGTCCTTTGGTTAGTAGCTGTTGAGTATGTTCAAACCCTTGTGGTTTTACCTGTAGTATCCCTAAAGTTAGTATCCAAGAACGAACTTTGTGCTATTCCATTTAACGGTTTTGTATTAGCTTGTTACGTGACAAGTGACTCGCTACTGCTAAACCCTTTGATAAATAGTCGTAAATGTCAGTGCGAAGTGATTTCTCATTAAATATAAACCAAAAGTCTCACGTTATCTATTGGTTTTTAAGCTGATTTATTTGAAGTCAAAACGCTATTAAGCCAGCTGGGATCTTATGGGTTTTGCCAGTCATGTTATTACTCAAAGGAGCAATTAGATTTGGTGTACAGAAAATCGAGGTATCAATAACTTTGTAATAGATGGAAATTCCACTCTAACAACTGACAGAAATAATTTGGTGATCACGGGAGTTTCGGATGTGAAACGTCCAGATGTCATATTTTGGCTTTCACTCTTCAACTACCTAAGGAGATGCGTTAACGCATCCATCATGTTACACAAAACAATAATTTCTCCCATACTTGACGGTGCTTGTTTCTAGATTTGAATAATAAGGGATCTGGTACGATGGAGTTAAGAAAGCTACATAATCGACTTCTTGTAACCTAACATTTCATGTAAGTAAAATCAGTATTTGATACAGAGAGCATCAGTCGATAGGTATTAGCGTTTTTTTGAATATGTAAGTATATAAGCCCAGATGGCTAAGCTAGGAGAAGTTTTGCTTGAGCAGACGGAGTTTGTCTCGAGGGTTACGAAAATGTCATAAATACTTCATAATTTATCACCAGACAGTTAATTACAAAAGAGGACTTGACAATGATCATGGTTAGAATTCCTGTTACACTGCTTATTTCGTAATGCCGTCTTCATTAAGTAATCGTTGTTTGCGTTTCTCTTTACTGGAATATATGACAGTCTCCGTTCACAAAGCAGTCAGTCAGCGTAGAACTTCGTACGTACGTACATCAGCTCGAGCTGCCATACCACATCAGCACAGAGATGAAGTTGTCGATTTAAATCCCATAGTGGTAGAAGTAGTAAGAGTATAAGCAGTAATCCGAAAGATTAGGGTTTGAAGGAGTATAATACAGTGAAATAAATTTGGAAAGAGAAAAAGGGTAGGGACATGAATTCAAAAGGTTAGAATTTGGTCGAACACAAAGAGTGGATGCACCTACGCCATTGCAAACGTTTTTGAGTCTTGTCATTCAAGGTATCTAACCATCGGTTGCTATCATCTCGCGGATCCCAACCAGATAGTCTACACCTACCAACATGGCTTAGTCTACTTGTCAGTGACTTCATTGATTTGTGCCAGGTTTTGGTCTGGCCGCCCCTAGCTTTCTTCCAACCTGCACCTACACCATAAAGCATTGCACGTCGGGGCAGTCGGTGGTTGGGCATACGTAACACATGTCCCAGCCATCTCAACTGATGAAGTTTCAGTACTTCATCAATCGATTTGCCATCCTTACCTAGTACCTGTTTCCTAACATCTGCATTACTTACCCGGTGGTCCCAGGATATACGAGCAATGTTTCGGAGACACCCATGATCGAATACTAGTAGCCTACGAATATCCTCTACTCTTATCGGCCATGTTTCACTGCCATAAAGTAGGACGGAACGAACTGCTGCACAGTAAACCCGTCCTTTTGTTGCTAGACGGATATCTCGCCTACGCCATAAATGACGCAAGTTGGCGAAAGCTAGACGAGTCTTCTGTATCCGTGCTGAGATTTCGTCACACACCAGACCACAAGAGCCGATGAGACTCCCAAGATAAGTGAAGCTGTCAGCACGCTCAACTACTTCACTCCCTATCATTAGTTCAGGTGTCGCTGCAACCCAATCCTGAAGTCGGTCATGTATTTTTGCCAGTTAAAGGGGTTGGGAATTAACAGCAATATCTAAAACCTCACAAGTAAATCATTGTTATCAAAGTAGTAGTACAAGATCTGTTTAGTGCGTATTATCGTCGTAACAGAAAGTTGTTCTATATAACTAATTGTATTAGGAAATGTTCACAAGGTCAAACGATCGTAATTTGCCTGTTCAGCTATCTACTAATACGTCATGGGAAATACTGTTTCCAAACTACCATTCAATTACAGTTAAGAAAAGAATGCATTTTCCAACAGTGTGGTTTTCGTTTCTTTCAGTACACTAATGATTCTTATTTCTTTCCAAGTAGTAAACTCAAAGTTGTTGATAATAGAGTAAGAGTACAGGATTCATAGACCACCTTGATTTTTAGTACCAAAAACTACTCGAGTATTTTGCTCTGTTCAATAAGTTTATCTTAACTCATTAAATAGAGGAAGATTCCTGTACAACACGTTTCACGTAATGAGGCTGTTTCATAAAAGCCAAAGCAAACTGCCCTAGATGAAGGGTTAGCACAATACTGTTTCCTAAGTAGGCAAACAACTTGCTTCTTCCATTAACGGGTTGTGACTGGTACTACTAGATATCAGTCACTTAACACTCATCATTTAATCTAATAAAATATATTATATTATTTCGAGCCGATTGTCACGTACCATATTTTATCAGGTCTAGTTTGGGATTTCAACGTGGTCACTTTCGAAAAACACGCCTATTTAGTGACAATGACATTTGTTTCTAAACTAAGGCAATAAATGGATTGTTAAGCACTTGAGTTTAATGACAACATAAGTAGGATTACACACTCCAACATTTTTACCTTTCCGTCTTGATTCGCTTACTAATACACCAAGTTTACGACAATAAGTCTTAACTTGGTTCTTGTTTCGATGCTTTACACACATTCGGCGGAAGAGGCACGAATACCCAACTACTACATTTAAGACCCCATCAGGTTTTTTGTTAGGCCAGTATGGAAAATCTATGGTGCCTAATTGTATGGTCATTCTTATTTCTGAAAAAGTAACCAAACAGAAGGTACTTTGGTCAGGATATTATGACGCAATTGCTCACTCTTAAAAAAGTATTTACTGGCGACAATGGTGAGTTTGTTTAATTGATTATTCTTCTTCGTCAGTGAATTAGCAAAAATAACTTTCGTGAGATACTCAATCCTACTGATTGTATGTAATACGACAAAAACAATAGTAAACAGAATACTAGGAAGTGTATGAATAAATCTACTAACCGAGAAAATTTAAATACATGAAATATAAATTATATAAAGATGCAAAATTCTCGCGCAGAAATGAGTCCAAGCGGCATTCCTCGAGTTTTTTAACCATATTATCGATTGAGTGTTCGAGGGTACTCAAAACAGTACATAACAGAGCTCACTTACGGATTTCAGAAGTATTGTTGTGTTAACGAGTTCACAGCCATTAGGGTTATTAGTAAAACTTTCAGTTCCCTTGTAAATACCCATACTTACAAACTGCGCAACGCTCTTACCACTGTGCTGATAGGATGTGAATAAGTTGATTTCACTAAGTTATGAACTAAAAACAACTTCCAACCAAGCTTTGTACGCAACTGGAGTAGTAAATCCAAGACGTGCTGACTAGCATTTGTCTACAAAAGCAACAAGTACCAGTTAGAATTGAAGATCAGTAGATAAACTAGTCTGATTTTGTGTCCAAGCTACTCGTTTGGTTACAGAATCTAGCTAATCTCACTAGCCTGAAGGCATGTATGAACATACACTTGGTTGCGCTGAGTAACCCAATAACATTTATCGCAAATAATGTTTCAATCTTGCAGTTAAGTATTGAGCTATAAAAATTTTAGAACGCTGACAGAGTAGTTTATGCTTTAGAATGATTCGTATGCTCATTACGGGTACACTGTGTGAAAGCCCTTACTACTACATATAAAGATCAATAATTAGTGCGAGACGATTAGCAAGAATGGTTTGCCACTCATTTGAAAAAAGTATCTAATTTTACAAGAAATCAATTATAAAACAAGAAACTTTAAATACACTGTACAATGAAGCGAAGTTCCTAGAAAATTACTGTACGGAAATAAGTTCAGGGGGCATATGTCCTGAGTTTCCTAAACATCTTAATGTAACACGCCCGTCAGGCCGGATGACAAGCCACGTTATACTGCCGTGATCGAGGGAAAATCTTATCCAAGCTTCAGGTGGAAACTGTAGAGCTCTACAAACAAAATAGCGAATAACATTTGCATGACACACAAACACTTCATACGTGTCGGCTTCCTGTCCTACATCTGCACGGTGTATGTGTCTTCGGAACGCAAGTTCAATGCGGGAACCATCTTCTTCTATATCTTTTGGTGTGGGTTTGTAATATGCGAGGGGTGGCTCCAGAATGTAAGGAGCGCCTTCACGTATAGCATCTGAGGGTTCTGCTTGAACATTGGGAAGGTGATTTAATACCAACTCAGCTGATTCAACAGCACGTGTCATTGTCGAATAATATAATTTTCTATATGGAAAATTGAGTTCTCGTAAACGTTTTCCAGTACAGTCCAACTGCTGGCGCCCAAGCCCTGTCAAATGGCAGTCAGAATCTTCTTTTGCATAATAATATTGGCCATGACGAATAAACAGAAGATGCCGTGTACATTTTGGTGTCACTATTTCACCTTGTAAAGACGAATCTGTCCGAAAGTTAGAGGGATTTCTCCCATCCCAGTCCCAGTCCCATGGTTGTATACTGACATTTTCACTACAGATAGCACGAGCACTTAGTATTGACGGAAATATTTTATTGAAGGTGTTCGCTAAACTTTTCAACTGGTCAAAAAATGGTAACTTTTGATCACCTCTACTCCAATCTGCAGACCATGCCGCTTTGGCTCCGAATAAAGCTGTACCAGTGATGCAACAGCCGAGACGTACTACACGACTGAATGACATGTTAAAATGCAATCTATTACGGTCGTGTCAGTTTCCTACCATACTGCAACGACGCGCGCCTTTTTGATTTGTGGGCACTATATTATGCGAAGTACCTACAACGTTATTGTGAACAAACAGTTTCAGCAGTCCTAATATGGGACAAAATTAGAGATTGCGGACTATATTTTATTGAACTTCAGTGACATCATGTACTGAAATCATTTGTCTCATTAATACGCAACCATAAGTTAACTTTCACCCACTCAGAATTTTTAGTCTGACAAGATTACTTAAGAATGGTGTCAGATAAAATGCCACACCCACGTTTAGGCGATTAAGACTTGTTCTGATAATTTTGGTAGACTGTGGATAGTTGAGATGTATTTAATAGAAAACCCGAGGAAAACAATTCAGTTTGTCCATTTGTTTGTCAATAAACAAGCAACTAGTGATATTTGACGTCTGAAGTATTGTTGCGTTTATTTAATAGTAAATTGCCGTTTTTCCGAGTAGGCATTCTGCAAAACATTGGGTTCAGGCTTTTAACTTCATTGTGTTCGTTTTTCATATTCCATATGACATTGAGGGATTTTCACACACAAAATCTTCAAAATGGATCTTATAGCCGTATGCTGCTGAACGTAGGAAGCTATCCGAATAGTGTTCACTAGCGAGAAGCTCGTTTGGTTTGAAATCCTGGCTGGCCACGTCTTAGGGCTATCGTCATCCCACTAGAAGGGAGTGAGTCACAACGGCAAATAAATCCACAGAATACGGTTCTGTAGGTCTTCGACATTGGTGCTATCTTCACCAGTTTTACTGGACACATCTGGTTGAAAGAGTTCATTCAAGCATCTGCTGTAGATCACAAGTGGGTACACCATGCTACACATCCCTACCAACTACTCACCAGTTTAGACATACAGTGGAGAATGAAGGAAGAATTCTATTCAATCCATCGGATGGCATGGCCCAGACATGCAGGCGTAATTTTTAGGTCTATTATTAGGCCAGTATTAATAACGAAGTAGGTCATAATTCTATGCAGCCTTGACTTATTTTTACATTTAATCCACGACCAATTTGAATTCCAACGATGATACCTTCGATTACTCTCATAGAGTTCCATTAGCACAAACGGCGTTCGAGGTAATTTCAATCCACACGTATCTGTAGGGCAGAACATGTTAAATTACAGCTCCTCATGTCAAGTGGGATGCCAGGAACCAACAGTATTGATGTTGATTTATTCATGCAAAATACCTTTTTCAATCGTGTTTGAAAGACTGAATAGGGTTCACTTCCTACTGAGTAATTCTATTACAAGCAAGCTGGACAATCCGTTTAAAACGAAGCCTGCTCAAGACCCCATGAATTCTAAAAACAAAAAAATGAGCTCAAATAGTTTCAACAAAGAAAGGGGACAGTCGGTTTTGTATCAGAATACTGTTTTCAGCACTATATTTCATAACTACACATGATCCATACTTTCAGCATCTTTTTGAACCACCTTCATTTATATTGATGATGCAACGGATGTTCTAGTTTTACAACTAGCTACCAGTAGCACCTTCTATATTTGATCGTTCCCAGTCAGATAGAAATCAGAAGTCAGACGAGAAGAGGCAGGAAAGATATATTTGATTCGTTACCAATATATCGAGAGGCGTTCGTTCTTAGCTGACTATGGAAACGTAGGAGCTGTGTCCCACGCCGAGTTGCAGCGTGATCTGGTACGGATGCATGACCGAAAGCCTTCAGCTAAACAAGTCCACTTAAACAACGTGGTCAGCATCCAATGTCGAACACTTAATGAGCTATTGATTTTGGGGAATTATTTACAGCTACAGATCACTCCCCCCCCTAGTGATGCCCCTAAGACGTGACCAGCCAGAGGTTTAAACCCGACGAGTTTGTCGTTGGTAAACACTCTTCTGATAGCTTGCTTCGTTTGGCAGCGTCTGGTCGCCTTTCCTTAAACTAAGGGACCATGATGTACAACATAACAATAAAGAAATAAAATACAATGAAAATTTCGGTTCCTTGCGAAACTTCGTCGTTCTTTTCCAGTTGTCCTGGAAAAGAGAAAACAATAGAACGTGTGAGTGCATGTCGAAAATACACTCGTACTTGCGTAAGGACACAAGATGAGCGAAAAAAAATAAACTGATACTCTTTCAAAAAGCGTAAAAGCGATCGGAAAAAAATGGTTTGTTTTTGGGTTTTTTTCTGTATAAAAAATATATATATACGCTCAAAAAAATTAATAAAAATGTTTTGTTTTTTTGTTTTCTTATAAATAAAAAAATGAGCATATTAAAAATTTTTTATAATAAACTATGAAAGGGTAATTCAAGATAAAGCTTATGTCCTACGTGCAATATTCTATAAGATGTTCTGGAAATCTTACTCGTCTTCCAGAACGCGTTGTTTTAGGTTTTTCTATCGACGTTGACGAAGTATCAAGTTGTGTGTCGGTTGTCGTGTAGGGTACTTCGAGTGTAGTAGCTGTGTCGTTTGCTTGTACCGAAGGAAAATCGACGTAGATAGGGTTTCCTTCTAAGTACGCTGCTTTGAGTCGATCGATACTGATGCTATCGTTCGTACCGTTCTTATCGACTACATAGTACTTAGGTTCGCGTTGAAGAACTTTGAAGGGTCCTTCGTACGCTGATTCGAGGGGTCGTCGATGTGAGTCTCGACGAACGAAGACGTGTGTACTCTGTCGTAATTCCTTTTAAACGAAAACATCAGTTGATTGAGGTCGAGTGTGAGCAGGTTTTACTGAACGCATAGCGTTTGTAAGCCTACTCGTGTAAGAGTTTAGATCCATGTTCAATGAAGAAGCTGAAGGATCCACAAATTCTCCTGGGAGTCGGAGTGTCGTTCCGTAAACGAGTTGAGATGCCGTGTATCCAATGTCAGCTTTCACTGCATTGCGGATACCTAGCAAGACGAGTGGAAGAGCGTCTGTCCACTGTGAAACGTTTGAAGCTGATAATGAAGCTTTTAATTGTCGATGAAAACGTTCTACCAACCCGTTTGCTTGTGGGTGGTAGGCGGTCGTTCGGAAGCGCGTGATTCCTAATAGTGTGGTCAGACAACGGAAAAGTCCAGATTCGAACTGGCGTCCGCGGTCTGTAGTGATGGTTGAAGGGCAGCCGAAATTTGCTACCCATCGTTCGACGAAAGCGCGGCCCACGGTTTCAGCAGTAATGTCCTTAATCGGTACTGCTTCTGGCCATCGAGTAAAACGGTCTACGCATGTTAGGAGATATGAGTATCCGTTCGAGTCGGGTAAGGGTCCCACCAAATCTAGATGGACGTGGTCGAAACGAGCGTCAGGGGTTTTGAAAGAGCCTAAGGGACATTTGTCGTGTCTTATGACCTTAGATTTCTGGCAGCTTACACAGGAGCGTGCCCACTCCCTCACGTCTTTATTCATGCCAGGCCAACAAAAGCGTTCGGCTATAAGTTCGATTGTTGCACGAGCACCTGGGTGAGAAAGATTGTGCAACGTATTGAAGACGTTGCGTCGATAATGTTTTGGTACAATTGGACGATCCCTACCTGTAGATGTGTCACAGAGTAAGGTTTCCTTACCTGTTCCCATCTGCTTAATACTTAGTTTAAGAGTTGTCGAGGATAACTCATGCTGAAGATCAATGTCTTCTTTTTGAAGCTGAGCGAGTTTAAGAAGGTCGATTCCTTGGAAACTGTTCAAGGAACTTATTCGAGACAAGGCGTCTGCGACTACATTGTTTGCTCCAGAAATGTGTTGTATGTCAGAAGTAAACTGCGAAATGTAACCGAGTTGTCGAGACTCTCGCGGTGAGTACTTGTCTGAAGATGAACTTAAAGAGAAGGTAGGAGGTTTGTGATCGGTAAGAAGCATGAGTTCTCTTCCTTCGATGGAATGTTGGAAATGCCGTACAGCACAATACATAGCTAGGAGTTCCCTACCGAACGTGCTGTACCTAGATTCCGCGTCTAGCAACCGTCTCGAAAAAAATCCTAAAGGTTGCCACGAGTTGTTAACCCATTGTTGTAAGACTCCTCCGATTGCTGAGTCGGATGAGTCTACGGCGATAATAATGGGCGCTTGAGTGTCCTGATGCGCAAGCAGGGTTGCCTTAGCAATGTTTTCCTTAACTGTGGAGAATGCTTTACGGGCTGTGTCGTCTAAACTAATTGATTTTGCATTTCCACGAAGTTGGTCGGTTAACGGTTTTATAAGGGATGCGCATTTGGGTATGAACCGTCTATAGAAACTTACGAGTCCGTCGAAAGTTCGTAAGTGCTTGATCGCGGTCGGTTCTGGGTAATCCAGAATGGCCGCCACTTTGCTCCTAAGGGGTCGGATGCCTTGGGCATCAATGGTGTGTCCTAGGAAGTCTAAGGAGTTTGTTCCGATTTGGCATTTCTGTACGTTGACAGTAATGCCATGCCTTTGGAGTCGATCGAAAACAATGTCCAGATGCTTGAGATGCGATTCTCTGTCCGGACTCGCTATTAGACAGTCATCAACATACGCATGTACGAAGTTGAGACCACGGAAGACGTCGTCTATAAACCTTTGGAAGGTTTGAGCCGCATTTCTTAAACCAAAAGGCATTCGTAGAAATTCGTAAAGACTGAAGGGAGTGATGATGGCGGTTTTAGGAACGTCGTCAGGTGCCATCGGTATTTGTTTATAAGCTTTAACCAAGTCGATTTTCGAAAAGACAGTTGTACCTTTCAAGGTAGCTGTCAAATCGTGAATATGAGGCAATGGGTAACGATCGGGAATGGTTTTAGCATTCAGACGCCGATAATCACCAGTTGGCAGCCAATCATTGCTGTCCTTTTTAAGGACCATGTGCAATGGGGATGACCATGGACTATTCGATGGTCGAATTACACCTAAGTCTATCATATGGTCGAATTCGTTTTTAGCTAACTTAAGCTTCTCGGGAGCGAGTCTTCGAGCTTTCGAGAATACAGGTGGTCCTGTAGTCGAGATGTGATGTGTAACATTG